CTGCTTCAGTGACTCCATCCAGCCACCTCATTCTCTGTCATCCCCTTCTTCTATTGCCCTCAATCTTTCCCAGCATTAGGCTCTTCTCCAGTGAGTCCTTCCTTCTCATTAGGTGGCCAAAGTACTTGAGTTTCAACTTCAGGATCTGGCCTTCTAAAGAGAAGCCAGGGTTGATCTCCTCTAGGACTGACTGGTTTGATCGCCTTGCAGTCCAGGGGACTCGCAGGAGTCTTCTCCAGCACCATAGTTCAAAGGCCTCCATTCTTTGGCGCTCAGCCTTTCTTATGGTCCAACTTTCACAGCCATACATTGCAACTGGGAAAACCATGGCCTTGACTATACGCACTTTTGTTGGCAGGGTGATGTCTCTGCTTTTTAGTATGCAGAATGCAGTATTGCAGGCTAATTCTGCCAACTGCCAAAAGTTGGATCCTGATCAGCTCAAGGTTGACTCAGCCTTCCATTCTTCTGAGGTTGGTAAAATGAGGACCCAGAATGTTGGGGGCAATATATTGACTTTGTAAACCACTTAGAGAGGGCTGTAAAGCACGATGAAGTGGTATATAAGTCTTAAGTACTATTGCTATTGCTATCTTATCCCAAACTGAAGAAGCTTCTTGGATGTGAAGCGAAACGTTTTCAAGGAAAAACCAAGAAAATCCAGTTTCCTTTTGAAACAGCACCTTTGGGGATAATGACTGAATGACTGAAAATCCCCATCAAAACTTGTATCTTAATTATGATAGCCAATGTTTTTAATGCCAGACAACTTGACTGGCAAAATGCCCTTGTTTTTTTGCCCCTGAAAAAGAGAGATATGCATTTATACTTAACAAGTCAAAATATGGCTGGTATGGGGAATTACAAGTCGGGTTGTTGTTTTTTATTTTTATTTTTATGGCAACTGATTAGAAAACGGTTTTCCTTATTTTTAGAAGCCTGTCAAATATATCACTTCGCCTCACACCATATTAAAATCCTTTTGTCTCCCTGTTCCCAGCATGTTCCATTTTTAGCCTACATTGCAACAGCCCTTTTCAAATGTGATCCAGCGAATTTCCTTCATGCAAAATGGAATGTTACATTTCTTTTTTTTTATTATTTATTGACGTGCTGCTACAGGTATTGCTCGGAAACGGCCGAGAACCCCCCTCTCTGACCTGCAAGGAGTTAACACTATTAACGAGAAAAGTCAGCGGTAAGTGGATCCCTCAGCCAGGCCTGTGCTGTTTGGTGTGTTTCTCCTTTTTAAATCGCTGACATTTTCTTCCCCGATGAAAAGTAAAAAAAAAAAAAAGTAAAAGTGTACGACTTCCATACATTGCAGCGATGCCTACGGAGTGTGGAATACCAGGATGGGCCTCAGACCGAACCGACTCTCCAACTTCCTTGACAAAGATGGGATATTTGTGAATTCGACGAACAGCAAGCTTCTGGAGCGTGCCCACGGCATTCTCATGTTAGTGAACTTTTGCATTTGTTCCAAAGGGGGCTTGGATAACCGTAGATACGATGGGACAAGTGAGGGTTTTTGTTTTTTTTAAAAAAAGTTGGTCCTCAGTAGTGTCCCAATAGCAGAGTTCCAGTATTTGAGGGGCTGCCCCAAAGAAGGGGGAGGGGGTCAAGCTATTCTCCAGAGCCCCTGAAGGCAGGACAAGAAGCAACGGGTGGAAACTAATCAAGGAGAGAAGCAACCTGGAACTAAGGAGAAACTTCCTGACAGTGAAAACAATTAACCAGTGGAACGACCTGCCTCCAGAAGTTGTGTGTGCTCCAATACTGGAGGTTTTTAAGAAGAGACTGGACAGCCATTTGTCCGAAATGGTGTAGGGTTTCCTGCCTGAGCAGGGGGTTGGACTAAATGACCTCCAAGGTTCCTTCCAACTTTATTATTATTAGTATTAATATTACTATTATAGTACAGGAGTCCTCGGCTTACGACCACAGTCAAGCCCAAGGTTTATGTTGCTAAGTGAGACATTTGTTAAGTGAGCTTTGCCCCATTTTGCAACCTGTCTTGCCACAGTTGTTAAGGGAATCACTGCAGTGGTTAAGGGAATCTGGTTTCCCCTTTGACATTGTTTGTCAGAAGGTCGCAAAAGACGATCACATGATCCCGGGATAGTGCGACCGTATATAAATATGAACTAGTGGCCAAGCGTCTGAATCTTGATCGTGCGAGTATGGGGGTGCTGCAGTGGTCGTGAAAAACGGTCATAAGTCACTTTTTTCAGTGTTGTGGTAACTTTCAACAGTCACCAATACCTATTTACAGATTAACCGTGTAATCCTGCTTTTTATTGGGTTCTTATCTTCCATAGGCGAAACAAGAACGTTAAAGTCAAGCCCAACCTACCAAAGGTGAGAGAATTCATTTACCTCAGTGGTTCCCAACCTTTTGTACACCCCGCACCCCTAGAACGCTTCTGATATATTCTTGCACTCCTTACAAAAGTTTGAAATAGCAGCAACGAATTATGCATATACACTTATAATTTTGAAACTTCTAAACCCAGGTTTTCACACCCCCTGGAATATCATCTTGCACCCCCTGTTAGGAACCCCTGAATTACTTGGCTGTAAGCACCGCTAATGGATCTAGTTAAGAAATTAAGTTTTTAAGAAGAGACTGGACAGCCATTTGTCTGAAATGGTATAGGGCAGGGGTAGGCAACCTTGGCTCTTTTATGACTCGTGGACTTCAACTCCCAGAATTCCTGAGCCAGCATGGCTCAGCTTGGAAACCTCTCCATTTCTCCTCAGCATGGCTGGCTCAGGAATTCTGGGAGTTGAAGTCCACGGGTCATAAAAGAGCCAAGGTTGCCTACCCCTGGTATAGGGTTTCCTACCTGAGCAGGGGGTTGGACTAGATGACCTCCAAGGTCCCTTCCAACTTTGTTGTTGTTCTTGTTGTTGTTGTTGTTGTTGTTGTTGTTGTTGTTATTATTATTATTATTATTATTATTATTATTATTATTATTATTTCAGGCATGATAATCCTTCCCCATACGATATAAAAAATTACAAGCCCTGCATACAAATACCTCTTCAAAATGTAGCATACAGATCATCTACTCATTTGCTTACCGGATATCACCCATACGTAACTCCATCAAAAAAGAATGGATGTAATAAGTCTGCATGCATCCATACATGTATAAGTAATTTGTGGAACGTGGCAGAAATAGGGCAACATATTATCAATTATATGATAACCCTTATGCTGGTTAACCTTCTTTGGGATCCAGGGCAAAAACCTGGGATGCAAGTTTGTCTGCAGCCTACATTCAGATGGATGCCTCTCTGAAGGTTATTCCTTGCACTGATTTATGCCGAGAGCTTCTCCCAATTTTTTCTGCTTCTCTGCTTCCTCAGCACTTGCTGGAGGTGAAATCCCTGAAGCATCTGACAAGCCTGACTCTCCATGATCGTATCACAAAGTCTCTTCTCCATCTTCACAAGAAGAAGAAACCACCAAGCATCAGTGCCCAGTTCCAGGTTACTTCCTTGCAGTTCTTTGGTTAAGAAGTGTACATTGGGAGGGGGGGACGGACCACATGTCAGTGAAAAGTTTTCAAACGTTTTCAAGCTGTGGATTCTGTTGGTTAGGAAAAGAAATTCTGGGAAACAGCTGATCAAGAGGCAAAGCTCTAGAGATTTCTTTTTTTAAAAAAATAGGTTTTTAGGGGGAAAAACCCCCTCTTGTTTTCCATGGACCCCATCAGTTGTCATGGAACTCGTTAAGTTTGAAAAAACCCTGATTTAGCTAGTTAGTGCTGGGAGGCTTTACTTTCAGGGGAAATGAAGGTTATTTTGGGCTGGTTCAGTGGGAGGAGGAGGAGGAGGAGGGAAGCTTAACATGCTGGCCTAGATAATGGCACCAAGCCGGCTCTCTCTCTATACTAACTAAAGCTTATAGTTAAGCATGAACAAATTTCAGCGCCTCCATTGAATCCACCCTCTTTTCTGCACTTTGAGCACAGCGGCTGCTCCTAAATGGTTTTATTGGGATATCTGCTTCTATTCTCACAAAGCCTAAATCGTGATTGCAAAAGTTTTCTGCACAACTGATTGCAGAAGTTCTTAAGAAGAGACTGGACAGCCATTTGCCTGAGCAGGGGGTTGGACTAGAAGACCTCCAAAGTCCCTTCCAACTCATTACTATTATTATTATTATTGATCAGCGCACAGTCAGCCAGATGTTCAGACTGGATTTGGCATTTTTGTCTACCTATCGAGTCCTTACCAAGGACCTGGGATAGACAGATGTGGATGTTTGATGGTATTACAGATATCGTCGCAGGATGGAAGCAGTTCCTAGTAAGGCCGCCTTTTGCAATTGACTAATGGCGAATTTGTCAATGCCAATGGTGTCCAAGTGGTGCTCCAGTTGTTTTGGGATTGCACCCAAGGTGCCCCCAAAACAACTGGAGCACCACTTGAACACCATTGGCATTGACAAATTCGCCATTAGTAATTGCAAAAGGCGGCCTTACTAGGAACTACTACTACTACTACTACTTTTTTTTCTTCTTCAAGAAGAAGAAGAAGAAGAAGAAGAAGAAGAAGAAGAAGAAGAAGAAGAAGAAGAAGAAGAAGAAGAAGAAGAAGAAGAAGAATAATAATAATAATAATAATAATAATAATAATAATAATAATAATAATAATAATAATAATAATAATAATAATAATAATAATAATAATAATAATAATAATAATAATAAATTATTATTATCAGCAGCCAATGTTATGTTTTGTTCTCCAGGCTTCACTTACCAAATTGATGGAGACTCTGGGGCAGGCAGAGCCCTATTTTGTCAAATGCATTCGCTCCAACGCTGAGAAGGTAAACCGTTCCCCAACGCCGAATGATTTGCAGCTGAAAGACAGTCAACCTGCGATTTGTGACATAGCTAAAGATTACCGAAAGTAGAATAAGATGCCCTCCCTAAGAGCAGTCATAACACAGAGGCAGGCTAAAATAGCAAATATCAAAATGAGATACCAGCTCTTTAAGTCAGCGCAAATAGTAATGTAGAAAAGTTAACTTTAAAATCCCTAATTTTTGATATGCATTTAGTGAATCAATTTGCAGCCTGAATAATTTTGGTGGATGTATAAAACCATCTTCTATTATCTGCTGGATGAAAACATATTATGGAAGCAATATTAATGTGGAATGTTCTATAATTTTTTTTTCTTCCAATTTGGCTCTTGGCTAGAACTGGGAGTGCAGAGTTTATAGGTGTGAGGTTATCTGAATGGAACAGATTGTCAGGCTCTAATCCAGGGGTGTGAAACTGCTGGCCTGCGGGCTGGATACATCATGGCAAAACCGCGCCTATCCCATTGCCGGCAATGGAAAAAAAGTCATGATACATCATGACACATCACGTGACGTTGCGAGTTTGACACCCCTGCTCTAAACATGCCTTTATTTTACAAAAAAGTATGCAGTCTTGTGTTCAATGACTATTAGGCATTTCATGACGCAATATTCCTGATTTCATAGGCAATACTATTAACTTCCTGTTGCCTTTTTGTTGCTAAATATGGCACAGGATTAACATCTGTATAGATGTTCACACTAAGATAGGCATTAAGCCAAGCTTGTAGATAATTGCATATTCTGTTTGAGACTGATTCAGTTTCTTGTCCGTAGTGATGTGGACAAAACTGTACATTACTGTTAGGCTTAAAAAATGGGATGATTTGCTACTTTGGAACAGTGTGTTGGCTCCATTTAAAAACACAGAAACCTCGAAATGAGTTATCATGCATAACTGGTTCTATAGGCGAGTTGGCTCAAATTGTGTATTTTGCTTTTTCAGCTGCCCTTGAGGTTCAATGATAACTTGGTGCTTAGACAGCTGCGTTACACAGGAATGCTTGAGACAGTGCGCATCCGACAATCAGGATATAGCTGTAAATATTCTTTCCAGGTGAGATAATTCTTTCTCGATTCTCTGAAAGGTTATGGTGATAGTATAAAGAGTCTGAAAGCAGATGAGTTGGCTGGGTTTTGTTTAATTGGTTTTATTTTTTTTTTTAAAAAAATATGCCAGGTTGTTGCTGGAGCTATTTGTAAATCCAAATCTATTTCCAAATTTACAAGAGTTGTGCATGGCAGTATTTCTTGCAAGCTGCCTCAGCCTATTTGTATTTCTTCAAGTGACATTCTTTTAGGTTTATGTATTGAAAAGTTTATATACAGTTTACTAACATGAGTTTCTTTTATGTTTGACACATGAAAAGTTTATAAATGTAACAATATGGTGATGCTGTGTCTAAATTGCCAGGATTTTGTAGACCACTTCCACGTACTTCTCCCACGAGGCACTGCCCCGTCTAAGCAGAATATTGAAGGCTTCTTCAAAAAGACAGACAACAACTCAGATAGTTACCAAGTTGGGCGAACTATGGTAAGGTCCAACAACTGTTTCTAGACACCTGTTCAAAAGGGGGATTTTGTGATGTTCTTTCCTCATGTGTCCTTAAAAAAAAAAGTCCTGTGGACTGAGGTAACTTCTACAACTTGGATTTCAAAGATCCTATTTGTTTATCATTATATCTGAGGGATGATTAGAACTTAATTAATCTCTTTGTAAAAAAAAAAAAAAGACTGGAAGAATCAGTGTGGTTCTTTGGACACATGCACAGTTGCAGATATTTTACTGGGAAAAAAAAACCCACATGTGTGTGTCAGGTTGCTGATAGCAAAGGGAACCGACATTAATGGTTATTGTTCAATTATCCATCAGGTGTTCATGAAGGAACAGGGACGACAGCTTTTACAAGGACTGTTACACGAGGAAGTTTTGCAAAGGATTATCTTATTGCAGAGCTGGTTCCGGACGATGCTGTACAGAAGGCAGTTCCTGAGCATGAGGCAGGCTGCCGTGATCATACAGGTGGGGGTCACCTGTATTTTGTTTTTAAATTTAAACCTTGAGGATGTTTACCTTACTCTCAACATAGATATTGTTGCCTTTACACAACACAGTTAAGCTAGTTATTGAATTTATCCTTTTTCTGGATTCGTTGTTGTTAATTGCGAAGTCGTGTCCAACCCATCGCGACTCCATGGACAATGTTCCTACAGGTCTTCCTGTCCTCTACCATCTTCTGGAGTCCATTTAAGCTCACGCCTCCTGCTTCAGTGACTCCATCCAGCCACCTCATTCTCTGTCGTTCCCTTCTTCTATTGCCCTCAATCTTTCCCAGCATTAGGCTCTTCTCCAGTGAGTCCTTCCTTCTCATTAGGTGGCCAAAGTACTTGAGTTTCAACTTCAGGATCTGGCCTTCTAAAGAGCAGTCGGGGTTGATCTCTTCTAGGACTGACCGGTTTGAATGCCTTGCAGTCCAAGGGACTCACAGGAGTCTTCTCCAGCACCATAGTTCAAAGGATTCATACAATGCATACAATGCATCAAACCTTAAACCAGCTTTCTTTAGAAGTGGAGAGGTTTATTCAATGTATCCATACCATGTGCAAGAAAATTACTAACTATTCTTTAATTGACTATTTTTCTTCATCCTCACTGCCAGTACAACATTCTTGTATGGATTGGTATATACTTCGGTCTGCATTAAAACGCACGCTTTAAAAATGCTTGTAACCAGTAAACATAAACTTTTTGTAATGAATTGGAGTATCATAATATTAGAAATTAGTACTTAAGGGTTAGAAATATCTTAACCAGAATTATTCCAGCTAATGGCTTCGGATAAAAACTCATTATTGTGTCAATAAAGTATTTCCTTTTTTTTTTTAATTCCCTGGGCAGCATTGTTGGCGTCGTTATCAGAAAAGAAAGCTAGCTGAAACAGAGGAAGAATCCCTGAACAATTCAGCCTTTTTAGAGCAAGCTGCTGTGGTCCTTCAGGCATACTGGCGAGGTTACATGGCACGGCGAAGATTCCAGCAGATGCGGATTGCAGGCTTCATTATCCAGAGCTCTTGGAGGGACTGCTTAAGACGTCGGCACGCTGCAGCAACATCTATCCAGGCGCACTGGCGGAGCTACCGCACGAGGGCTCTCTTCAGAGCCAAAAGAAACAAAATCATTTTGTTGCAAGCAGCCTATAGAGGCTACAAAGCACGGCAGAGGTAATGCACGCAGTGTTTAGGAAAGGAGATATGTGTCTAAATGAAAGAAGACCTTGGGAATTATTGGGACTAAATGGGTGATAAAAGAAATATTTACAAATGTAATTGTTTATTATCATGTCCCGATGCCGCTGCATAAAATAGCTCTTTTACCTAGCTACAAAACTTAACAATTATTGGTTCAGTGCCCTACAATAATTTGATTTGCAATATGGTAAATCTTTTAACTGTATTTATAGGTATATCATTTTGTTCACTATGGTGTGTAGAACAAAACACTGTTTCCTTAGTTCATCTACAGCAAGCCATATCTTACGGCTGATCAATCACAATGGCTAGATTCGCATATTGCAGTAAGCCCAAATCGCACACAGATGTATTATTGCTTAGCACACGAACATAGCCCCTGTAAATAAAGATTTTGAGGACAGATCATACTTCAACCAATTTTGCATCTGGGAATTTCCATGCCTGACTAAGGATTAACATTACTGACTAAGGATTCATTAACATTTCTAAATAGGACATGAAGTTATGAGCTACTAACATAATAAACAAGGTTTCCATAATCCACTCCATTCAACATGTGTGGACTGCAACTTGTCCAATCAACCAGTATAATCGGCCTTCCCCAATCTAGTTCAACCACCACAGTCATTATCCGTCATATGTGCAGATGAGAATTGTGGTCCATACAGTCTTCCCCAACCTTGACACAATGGCCATTCTGGCTGGAGAACTCTAGGAGTTGAAGTTACTCATCTGAAAGTACTTAAGCTGAGGAAGAACTGGGTTAATGGATAGTACTAAGCTATATGTAAAACTGAGTTCACCCACTGCAGTAAATCCTGGTTTAACAATAGTTGCAGTCACGTCAGTTGTTATCTTTATATAAACTGCACTGTAACAGAAAAAGGTACAATCTCTTTCTTGATATACGAGAATAAGTACGTTCCACTATCAGAACTGCCTAGTCCACTATGAGTACTAAAAATATTCAAATACCTTTATGCATATTTGATGCTTCCTATTAGTGGAAATAGAATGGGAAGTTAATATGAAGAGATCAAATGAAAGGAAGATTGACAAATTTGTGGTCATCATAACTGAGCTCTTTCTGAGCTCAAAATTGGAAGACGGCTCGTTTGCCTACTGTAGAAGAATGGTCTCTTAAAGTGTCAAATTTGGCAGAAATGGCTAAGATTTCTGCCTATTTAAAGGATTGCCCACAGGAAAGATATATTTCGGTTTGGAGAAGATGGATAGATTATATTCAGAATAAATATGGGACTGATAAGTTCCATTTGGTTTTTGAGTAAATTTTATAATATTGTTATTGAGTAATTTATTATACTTCTTATATTTTTTCATTATTATTGATATTATTATTATATTGAGTAGGAGTTTTGTTTAATAATTAAGTTGATTATCTGTTTATTATTGTGTTTAATTTTTGATTTATTCAAATTTATTTTAAAAAAAAGGAGTTAAAGTGTGTTAAAGATTTGGTTACTTATTTAGGTGGATAATGTTAGTTAGATTATGAATAATATATTTGTAACCCTGTGAACAGCTCTGGGAAGCGGGGGGCAGGGGGGGTCGGGGGAGGGGAAGGGGGTTTATTCTGTAAATGTTATAAAACTTTTAATAAAAAAAATAAAAAATAACTGAGCTCTTTCTCTATTTTTCTTTAAACAGGTTTACCACATTAAAAGAGCAGCGACTGAGTGAAGCCTCACTAAAGAATAGACTAACAAGTAAAGATAATAAATTAATACTAGGGTACAGCTCGGATATTAAGGACTCAGAGTCTTCTGAATGGGAAGAGAATTCATTTGAAAATAGAGTGAAAGCCGTCAAAGACCATAAATCGGTTATGGACAATAGAGTGGATCCGTCAAATTCTTTACACAAGCATCACGAGAGGGCCAACAGCCAGAGCGGAATGAGCATGGAAGAGGAAGTTCTTGTCAGAGAAAGACCAAAGTCCCTGGAAGATCTCAACCCAAAAAAAGGAGTCCGTGCAAAGCGAGAGAGCCGGCGCATGCGCGAACTGGAGCAAGCCATTTTTAGTTTGGAGTTGCTGAAGGTTCGATCCACTAGTGAGACGTCTCCCTCGGAGGAGCATCGGTTGTCCCCTGATCTTGTTTCTGAAGGGATGCCCTCTCCTCGAAGACCTCCGAGGAGTAAAAGCTCTCAGGGAAGTCTAGAGAAGCTAAGCCGGGACCCCCTCTCATCTCAGGATCACAGTGTAAATCTCAGAGAATCACTACATGATAGCCCAACATTTGATGATGATGATGATGATGATGAAGATGACAAAGACATCTCCAAATTTGCTGCTGCTGCTGCTACTATCAATAAAAATGTGTCGGAGAGAAAGAGGTCAATCTCAAGTTCTGAATTGCCTGACTGCCTGGCTGCTAAAGAGCGGTCAATTTGTGACCCTCATGACATTGTCTCCAACATGCATACAAGAGCACCATTGATTTCTAGTAGTTTGCCTACATTTTATCTTCCACCACAGGACAAGTTGAAAGTTGGCCGTTCAGTGAGGGACAATAACCTAAGAAACAAACAGATGGAAATGGGGAGCCATTTTTTTTTCCCAGGCACCAAAAAACATCCTCCACTGCAAAGGGCCACACAGAGTCCAGCCTTACATGACGATGGCCAAATGTCCGGCAGTGGAGAATTCCCAGCTGTTACAGCTACAGGAGTGCATCTCTCGGATAGGGTTATCGAGAAGCTGGAGAAGTTAAATGTTGAGAAAGAAGAACGCCAGAAACGAAAACAGATGCAGAACGAAAGAGAGATGATGGAGCAGATACGACGGCAGACAGAAATTTTGGGGAAGCAGCATAAAGTTTTTGAAGAGCTTCAGAGACAAGAGCATGAACAGAATAGGATTCGGGACTCCTGCCATGGAACCCCTCTCACCTCGCCTAAGAAAATGGACAGAGGTCCACCTCTCCTCATCGCCCATCCTCAAGGCAAGGGAGAACTAAGACTTGCAACAAATGCAGAAACCGCCTCATCGGTGAACCTTAAATCTCCTTCTGGCCCCAAAAAAGGAAGTCCCCCTATTTGCCAGACGGCCCTGAAGGAAAAGACCGTCCCCATGACCCCAGACAAAAAGGAAGGTCAGACGCCAGTCACCCTGGAATCTGTTGGAACCGATTGGTTGAATTTGCAAACGGGTGTCGAGTCTCAGGAAAGTGTCAGCAATCTACCTGCGAGGGAAAAACGGTTCAGATTGCCTCGAATTCCTAGCCAGGGCAAGGAAAGCTCTTCCAAGGAAACCAGAGTTGGTTCCATTTTCTTTACACCAAAGGATACTCATTTGGGCAATACGTGAGTACGATAATGGGTGCTTGTATGTCACACTTTTATAAAACTGCTACTTGGATCTTCCTTGAAAATAGCAGCCTTAGAAGAAAACCAAGGGGGAGAGAGAGAGAGAGAGAGAAAGTTCTCAGAGTGTCAAGTCTTCATAGCAGGCATGGCTGTAAATCTCTCTCTTTGTCTTTCTCTCTCCCTCTCTCTTTCTCTCTCCCTCTCCCTCCCTCCCTCCCTCCCTCTCTCCACACATGAAATCTGCTCTGATGGAGGAGAGTATTTGTAGTTCAGGATAGAAATGAGGGGTCCTTGGTGCTCTCTGAGCTTGGTGGTTTTCTTGCAGACATTTCATTACCAATCTAGGTAACATCATCAGGAAGGCAGTGCAGAGAGTGGTGAGAATGGCCCAAAAGATCATTGGCAGCTCCCTCCCTCCCATCCAGGACATAGCACAGAAGTGCTGCTTGAGCAGGGTCCGTAAGATTATCTGGGACACTACACATCCTCTTCACGACCTGTTTTCCTTGTTACCTTCTGGGAGGAGGGGGCTTCGTGGTATCCGAAGCAGAACATCCAGATTCAGCCAGTTTCATTCCATACAGCATTAACCTTGCGAACTCTCAAGCTTCCTCCTTCCGTTATATATTCAAGATGGACAGTATTTCATATTTATTTGCTACATATATGTAGGGATGTGGGTCTATACATATGTTGTTCATATTATGTTTAGGTGTGTGTCATGTATGTGTTTCACTTTGAGAGCGGGCAACTAAATTTCATTTTTGATGTGTGCCGTTGTGCTCACAATAAAAAAATGACAATAAAGGTTATCTTATCTTATGTACTTTGGGTAATGAAAAGTCTGCAAGAAAACCAACCTACTTCGGAGAGCACCAAGGACCCCTCATATTTATGTCAGTCCTGGGTCTTTTCCTCCTGTCTTTTCAAGTTAAACAGATTTTTGGCTGCTCTTTTCTTGGCCTTGAATCTCTCTCCCATCCATCCAATGTTTACAAAATAGGGACTCCCACTTTGCTGGCTTCAAATCTTACAAACAAAAAATATAGATAAGAGTATCAATTGAATTCTCAGTAAAATACATGTAAAGCTATATGTGCAATGTCTGATTCCTTCATTTAACGCCCATTCTCTAGACGACTGAACTAAATAGCAATAAAATCACAAGGCACTATCTTTGTTGTTCTAGGGAAACCCAATACAATAGCTTTATAGGAAGTTGATCACTGCTTTCCCATGCTAATGACTTTTGTCTATTTATGGTCTACTGCAAGTAAGTTTGCAATCATTTTGTTTTTTAGTTTTAATAAAGGATCTTCAGCACCTCTGCTTCTTCCAAAAGAAGAACAGAAAAAGCCACTGAAACTTTCCAGAACAGACAGAGGAGAGGTAAGAAACATATTTTTTTCAGCAGTAAGTCAACTTATTTCTCCCAGCTATCTCCCCAAACATGCCATGATCTGTAGGAAGGAATACAGGGTCTTATCAGCTGTAGGAAGGAATACAGGGTCTTATCAGCTGGAAAGCAGATGTAAGATTAAAGAGTGCTATACCACAGTATATATTTTTTGTATTGTTGACCTAGTTTTTAATATGGTAGCGAACCTGTTTCTCAGCTGTACACTTCAGATTGTAGGCAGGGGCTCCCATAATTGAGTGTTCAAACAAGAATTGCATATAAAAAACAAGGAGGAATCTAGTCGCGTATTTTCTCTCTGGCATCAGATTATCTAGATTTTGTGCCAGGGGAATCTCCCCTTGCATTTTAATGTGCAACTCAGCCACATACTTCATTGAGAACCAGGCCCATGTTCTGTCTGAACTGGCTCACCAACGAAATGATATCAAACCCAATTAGGGCATCATTTCTACTTTTCCCGTATGTGGTTTCCCCTCCCCCCCCTGCTGTCCTTCCTTGTTTGTTGAGAACCGACTTATCATGTTGTTTAAACAAATGATGCACTCGGAAGATCTTTTTTTTAAAAAAAAACCAAAAAAACCAAAAAAAACCCCCACCCACATGGTTCCGTGTTCCTTATCCTTTGACTTGTGTTTTTGTTTTGTTTTTTTGTTTGTTCATTCCATATCATCTGTTTTATCATTTGGTGTCAAGCAGGTTGCCCGACCAGTCCATAAAAAGAAAGCCCGCATGGCACGGACACGCTCGAATTTCTTGACTAGAGGTGCTTTTGCTGATTGGGAGGGGGATACAGAGGAAGAGGATTGTGATGACAATCTTGAATTCCTTCTCTCCTTTGAGCATCCACCACACCTTGAGCCTGGTTGTGCAGTCAGGCTCAAGCAGCCCTGCCATAGTGACTCTGAAATGGTAATATATTCCACAAACAGTCATGGGGGGGGGGGCATCTCTTGGCTAACCCTCAGCAGAACTGACACCTTCTACAGCCGTTTCTCCCATCCTGTAGTGCATATTATTGGATGGCAACCTCTAAGAACACAGTCACCCAGTGCTGATGCCTCTCGGTGTCAAGGTTTAGGCAGAGCTGTAGAATATCCCTTAGTGATGGTTTCTTCAGTAGGTCCCTGCAGTCATACTCCCATAATCCCCTTCCATATTGAGTTTTGAGGAAGTAAAGATGGAGAGGGCCGAGTATTATATTACTTAGTTTGCCAGTTTCCATCCTGTTTGAGGTAGAAGATAGAACCAGTCTAGACTCTACTTTGGGATGAAATGCAGCCTACAGTGGAGCAGCTAAAAATATGGTGGCTTTAGTAACACAGGGAGAAAATGTAAAGGTTAGCTGGGATTTACAGTAGGGGACATCATGAATAAAATGCTTAAAAAGCATTTTTTTTTTATTCCGAATGACCTTTCCTGCTTGCTGAAGCGATCTGTTACTCACATTGAGATGTTTAAGAGCATGCAAGATAATGTTTCCACTTAGTTCATCCTCCTTGGGAAGATTGTAAAATCCTTTCGTGCAGCAATGGTGAGGCCAGGGAGCCCAATTATGCTTCAGACTGCATAATTCGGAAGGAGTGTGCTGTGTTCTTGGAAGCTGTTTCCACCAACCTTAAATAGTTTCAGACCGGGAATCGTGGTTGAGATGTCAAGGTGCTGGGTTCGCTGTTTGCTTGGAAAACTCTTCCTCAAAAGCAGCCTCATTCCTGCCACTTTTTCAAAACAATCTTTTGATTCTCCTACCGCCATTTAACAGATGTCATCTGCATGCAAATAGCCCTAGATCAGTGGTGGCGAACCTATGGCACGGGTGCCAGAGGCGGCACTCAGAGCCCTCTCTGTGGGCACGCGCACCGTCGCCCCAGTCCTAGGCCTTCAGCTGGGTTTTATAAAACCTTTTCACTATAGGACTCCACCGCTGTGTGCAAAAAAAAAAAGGGGGGTTCAATCAATCAGTCAATTTCAACTTCTCGTGGGAAAAAAAATCTTGCAAAGTTGGAATTGATTGATTGAACTTTTTAGTCCCACCCAGTCTGCCGTTACCACTGCAGCCACGCCCACCCAATGGGCACGCCCACCCAATGGGCCACGCCCACCCGGCACCCGACGATGCATAAGTGTTTTTGGGTTGCAGTTTGGGCACTCGGTCTCTAATAGGTTCGCCATCACTGCCCTAGATCTTCAATTATGTTGCATCCTTTCTCCTTCCATGCTACTCTTGACTGCCCCATCAGCTTTTTCACCAGCGGTTTAGCACACCTGCTCGCATCTGCATGCAAAATCAAGCTCTGCTTTTTAAGTTTACGCTGCATTTCACGACCGCTGTTACATATGAGTGGTAAATTATAGATGTCTAAATGTAATACGTAATATTGCTCGGATATGTAATAGTGCTCAAATGTGTTTGAAATTGTCATCTGTGTTTTTTTTTAAAAAAAGTTTTTTTCTTGTTGGGTTGTGTATTTTTTATTTTCCCTGTCCTGTCTTTTTAGTTCTTCGGAAAAGGCTATCAACTGTGTTGTTAGACTGATAAATTTTCATGAAGCTCATTACTGTCCAGAAAATTAATGGCTGGTATTTGCCGAGGCTGTTTTTAATCAGGTCACATTGGTGCATATTTTTCAGCACATGAAATGGAGGTTATTTATTTTGAGCTTTCAGCACAAGAGGTGCATCAGTTAAGGAGCTCCCTTTTGCTAGCACAGGATTGATTAATGTCAGGAGGAAGAAGAAATAGGTTATCACCTCCACACCAGTTGTGGATGAACAAAAGCCCCGCAAGTCACTGTTTTTCCCATTTTTTGCACATTGCTCATCCTCTTTTGAGTACATTACAATATGTTTGGCATTGATTTTTTCTTTTTCCCTATTAAATGTCAGCTATTCTGCTTTTGGCTAGCTGATCAATTGGCGTGGATAAGGCTTGGAGGGAAGGTTAGGATGATTGCCACTGTGCCAATTTAAGCATGCGTAGGATTGAATATTGCAGAAATAAGAGACACAATATGTTTGGGTTGGTTTTTTTTTAAAGGAACCTGAAATATTTTGAAATCCTTAACATTCTGGCAGGAACTGCTGTTACAGCTTGTCTGGATTTTGCTTTTTGTCCCCAGTAATGCAGCTGAAATAGGTCTTAAATCCACTTGTTTAAGAAGAGACAGAGGGTGCATATCTTTTTTAAAAAAAATCTTTATGGAAATAAAGCTCCCAAATTATATTTTCTCAGTATGCAGAAGAATTAGGGGATTATGCTATTCCTGCTATTATGTCTCTTGAATGCGGTTTTTGTTAAGGGTGGAAATGGATTTCTTTTTCCTTCTTTCTTTCTTTCTTTCTTTCTTTCTTTCTTTCTTTCTTTCTTTCTTCCTTCCTTCCTTCCTTCCTTCCTTCCTTCCTTCCTTCCTTCCTTCCTTCCTTCCTTCCTTCCTTCCTTCCTTCCTTTCGCAAGTAAGCTAGGAAAATAAAAGTAGTTATAAGGGCTTACTCTTTCTTGTTAGAATTGAGAACAAATTGAATCAGAGCAACTAAAGATGTAAGAGTGGTTTTCCAGATGGGTATCTCAAGCCAGATTCTAGTGCATGCTTTATTTATCAGGGTTCCCCCCCCTTTTTGGGGGGGGGGGAGTGAATTGTATTTTTCAAAATTTGACAATTATAAAACTCTAAAAAGACTTTTATTAGAAGCCGTATCCTTTGCATTAACTAATACTGTTTTTCCAATGGATATGTGCTAGAAAATAGATCCTGCCATTTATTTGATCTGTCAGCATTCCCTGCTGAGATGAAATTAGATCTGGAGGGCAGTAGTTCAAAGTCCTGTTTTAGCAGATTCAGCATAACATTTTATGTGAAAAACGTATTTACCATCCTCAGTATTATCACTGTAAAGTATTTTTTTGCAATTGCAAATGGAAAGTAATTGATCCTTGAGTGCTGGAATATAACGATCTCTCACTCTTCTTGTTTTCCTCTTGAGTGGCCATTTTTCTGAAAGTTTTCTAGTCATGTATATTTTGAATTATTGATTATGTGCCACCAAGTTTGTGTTGAGTCTTAACAACCATCATAGATAGATTGTCTCCGTGATAATCTGTCCCTAACTGGGTCTTCTGATGTTTCAGCAGTGAGTCATCTATATAAATTTCCATAGTATTTATAATAATCAAAGGATTCCCCCCCCCCCCTGTGAACTATTAAATGTTGTGAAAAGATAACTACCCTTCGTAGGCAAACTGAAAAGGGAATCTTGCTGGAATCTTTAAGGCTAACAGATTTATTGTGGCAGAAATCTCTGTGGATTAGAGTCCAATTACTCAGCTTTATATAATGTCAATATATAAAATAGATATTAAAATAAAGAGACCCTGAAAGTCTATTAAAAGGACAAGTTTCAGAAAGCAGGGAAAGAATTCCAGAACATCCTACTGCTAGTCTCTCATTAGCGATGAAAGGCAGGGAAACAATGAATTTTCAATGAATGAAATGGGAGATTTTAATAGTGATAATTATTTTAGCTTTGGAGAGCTGCTTTATACCAAGTCAAACCGTTAAGTAATTCCGTGCCACCTGCAACAGCAAACAGCAACTCTCCAGGTTTTTACATGAGGGCCTTTTCTAGCCTTCTTGAAGTTGCTGAAGTTACCCCAAAAGGCCTTCTGCAAAATTATCCTGCCAACGAAGTCCCACTCTTGAAAGAAAAAAAGATTATTTTTGATCTGGTGCTAACGTAGGAACAGGAAATTCAAAGCCTGCAGCATCATTTGTGGTCAGATCCAGTTCTCCATCCCATTTCATTTATTCTCAAGCAAAAATATAATTTCCAATAAAGGCTTTGTCTGTTTTCACAAAAAAGCCATACAACAAGCTCTTCTATTGTAACAGCACTTTATGTACGGTGTGTGAGAAACTTGAAGTGGAGATAACATTCACCAGCTAGCAATTTCCATGAATACATCAAAGAGAATATTATTTTTAAAGAATCAAAAGATACTTCAAGCAGACTTTTTTTTTTACTCAGAAATCGAAAAGCCAGGTTTCTTAGGAATACCTCCCATAATTGCCTTCAGTAATTGCCCGCTTTTATTCAAAAGCCAATTAGTTTTACCTTAAAATCCTATATTAAGGTGTTGCTATTCCTCTCAGTATTGACTTCCTGAACTAATAGTAACAGAATGTTGTGCTGCGTCTTCTAGTTTACAGCTTTAATCTGTAGGAAACGAGCAGAAATTAATCAAATTAAAAGCATCTTTGTCATAGTGAGTGGGGTGGGGGTTAGCAGCTTAAATATTGAAAGCGCTGTATAGTTCAGTTGTGTCTTCTTGGAATATCAAATGATTCTATCAGGGTTAGAGCATCTGTTATGTTTGAAATTATTGCAGATGTCACAACGTTCTGCATCCAACGAAGGCCAAACAAAGCTTCACAAAACAATGTCTCAAGGAGAGATTGGAAAACTGCCAGTTGCCCAGAAGGTCATAGCCGTGGACAGAAGGTATAAATTCTCCAAGGGGGGGGGGAATACCAAGCCTGAATTAAATATGATTTGGTGTTTTTTTTTTCTTTGCATTTTTTTAAATTCACTAAACTACTTGTCCTTCAGCACCATCCAACAGTGTTCAGTTATAATGCCTGAAAGAGAGAAATGATGAAGAATGAAGGATATAAGCAAAGCTATCTTTGTTCACAGTCTAGACACAAATGGAGTCCTAGTGGACAATCCCTTAAATAGGAGCCAGCCGTGTGCTGCAGCTGCCAAAAAGACCAACACAGTGCTAGGCTGCATTAATAGAGGGATAGAATCAAGATCACGTGAAGTATTAATACCATTTTACAAGGCCTTGGTAAGGCCACACTTGGAATACTGCATCCAGTTTTGGTCACCACGTTGTAAAAAAGATGCTGAGACTCTAGAAAGAGTACAGAGAAAAGCCACAAAGATGATTAGGGGACTGGAGGCTAAAACATATAAGGAACGGCTGCTGGAATTGGGTATGTCTAGTTTAACAAAGAGAAGGACGAGGGGGGGGGGACATGATAGCAGTGTTCCAGTATCTCAGGGGCTGCCCCAAAGAAGAGAGAGTCAAGCTGTTCTCCAAAGCGCCTGAAGGCAGGACAAGAAGCAACGGATGGAAACTAATCAAGGAGAGAAGCAACCTAGAACTAAGGAGAAACTTCCTGACAGTTAGAACAATTAACCAGTGGAACAACCTGCCTCCAGGAGCGGTGAATGCTCCAACACTGGAAGTTTTTAAGAAGAAGAAACTGGACAGCCATTTGTCCGAAATGGTGTAGGGTTTCCTGCCTGAGCAGGGGATTAGACTAGATGACCTCCAAGGTCCCTTCCAACTTTATTATTATTATTATTATTATTATTATTATTATTATTACTACTACTACTACTACTACTACTACTACTACTACTACTATGATTGGGAGATTAGGGAAGAGCACCTATCTCATGGAGGCTGACCATTAGAAAAAGGACTGCCTTTAATTCCAGATGATATGTAATAGAAAATATTGGATTAAAACAGTACCAGTAGTCCTCACTTAATGACAGCCTTGTTTAGCAACTGTTCAAAGTCACCATGGTGCTGAAAAAGTAACTTTGCGACTGGTCCTCAGATTTACAACCATTGCAGTGCCCCTATGGTCATGTAATCAAGAACTGATTGTGAGCAAGCTTCGTTACCTATTTTTCTTAAGAGGGAAGAGCGGAAACTGGCAGTAAAGAAAGCTGGATAAAATAACCAACATGACTTGAGTAAACTTCTCTTTCCATTTATCGTTTAATAGACCTCAAAGAGCCAAGATGAGATTTTGGGGAAAAGGAAGGCAGGGAGAGAAGAAAATAAGCAGGGAGAAACTTGCTACCCAATCAGAACTGCTGGAACTGTATCCCGACCATGATGCACCAGGAAGAGACAGGATTCCAGGTCTACAGCTTGAAGAAGGTAAAACTGGTAGTTTAATACAGTGTTTCTCAACCTTGACAAGATAATTCCACCTTAAGATGGGTGGAATTCTGGGAGTTGAAGTCCACCCATCTTAAACTTGCCAAGGTTGAGAAACACTGGTTTAATACAAATGTCAGCTAGAGAGCTGATAAGGAAACGTGTTTCTTCTGTAGTTTACAAAGACAAAAAATAAGTGGTAATTCAGGGTTTCAGAAATACGAAGATTGGCTTGGCAAATCAGCTTTGTGACTTATTTTAGATGTAACAGAATCATAGAACGGGAAAAGATCTCAAAATTCAACTCCTGCCTTGTGCAGGAGACATTGTGAATACATAAAATATTTTATCAAGGAACATCTTAGGGCTTGATCAATCGGTTGTCTTGATAGTCAGGTCCAGTGTATGAATAATCTTCTGGGGGTTTTTTACACTTCGTCAGAAATCCAAAAGGTTTGCGAATTGCTCCTTACTATTGTCAGAGGTCCTTGTTCCAGACACCAGCAAAGTTCTCCTTTGAATAATCTAATTTGCCTTGAATCTGAAATTTTCTAGGATTTCCCCAGAAAATTGAAGGTGAAGGTGGAAATCGCATGCATGCATGCATGCATAAGCTGTTTCTATCCATTATGCCAGTGGTGGCGAACCTATGGCACAGGTGCCAGAGGCGGCACCCAGAGCCCTCTCTGTGGGCACGCGCGCCGTCGCCCCAGTCCTAAGCCTTCAGCTGGGTTTTATAAAACCTTTTCGCTTTAGGCCTCCGCTGCTGTGTGCAAAAAAAAAAAAAAAAGGTTCAATCAATCAGTCAATTTCAACTTCTCGCGGGAAAAGAAATCTTGCAAAGTTGGAATTGATTGATTGAAATTTTTAGTCCCACCCAGTCTGCTGTTACCACTGCAGCCACGCCCAGCCAATGGGCTACGCCCACCCAATGGGCCACACCCAGCCAGTGGGCCACACCCAGCCAGCACTCGACGATGCATAAGTGGGTTTTGGGTTGCAGTTTGGGCACTCAGTCTCTAAAAGGTTCGCCATCACTGCATTAAACTAAAGAAATGATTTTCCTGTTTCTCGGTTAGGAAGATAGCTCTGCTCGTTCTTCTCAGGGGGATTCTTAGCAAAACTTGTATTTCTTTGCACATACAGAGCTGAGTCCTCCAAGGAGTCCTGAACTGTCCGGCATTTATCGAAGGGAATGTAAAGAAAACAAAGAGCCATCCCCAAAGGTCAAGCGAAAACGCAGCCTGAAAATTAGCAACGTAACTATGGAACCTGCACAGTGGCAGAACGACGCTCTTCAGATCATAACAAGCGCCAGTGATTTGAAAAGCATGGACGAGTTCCTCTTGAAAAAGGTAATTTATACATACACACACACCCACACCCAAATCTACAGCTTTACTAGCTAAGAATAATTCTTGGCTTTTAATCTGAAGACTGTTATCTTCAAAAGCTGATTTTATGGACTTCATGGAAGAATCTGGGTGACTTTTATTTGCCGTATTTTTGTCCTGTCTGTCAAGCAACCCGTGTACCTGAAGCAGCAAAGCTTAGTTAAAAGAAAAATAGCTCTTACCTCTTTGACATGCAACCCAACAAGACACAGGTAAGAGAAGGGAAAGTGAGTGCAGAAAAAGATCAGGCTAAAATGGAATGAAATATCAGCCATAACTAAGGTTGATTTTCCCTTCCCATTCTTGAACAGCAGTTCATAGTCTGGTGGTCGCCTTGATTCTGAATAAATCTAGAAGGTATTGCTTTTTAGTCTTGGTAGAAACATCTGGAAGGATTTTATGTTCTGCCTGACAGGGAAGAATAAAGCAAGTTAGTGCTGTAACTTCTTTGGGAGAACTTTGTCTACATCTGGACCCAGGACAGTCAAAGGTCTGGATCCAGCAAAATCAAGCAGAATCCTATTTAGGTCATTAAACAGAACAGGGTAACCTTATAAATAATTACCTTAATGTAGCCATCTTAGTTCTGCCTGGGAAATTGAATCTGTCACATGGTAAGTTTTGAAAAACAATCTTAATTTCATTTTATGGTTTTTCAGATGAATGATTTGGATAGCGAAGACTGTAAGAAGGACACTCTTGTGGATGTGGTATTTAAAAAAGCTTTGAAAGAATTCCGGCAAAATATCTTCAGTTTCTACTCTTCCGCTTTGGCAGTAAGTTAAATGACTGCTTTTACTTTTTTAAAATTTAAGTACTAATGGTAGGAGTTTCTGGCGCAGCCAAACTGTGCAGAAGCATCTCTTAATGTTTGGGGAGATAATTATTTACAATGAGACTATATTGGGTTTCAGAGAAGGCGGAACTAGATTTATTTCTGATGTTCCTGCTTCTTCTCGTTGTCATGATCATAGCGTATCATGTCACAAAAAGAGCTTTTCTTTCTGCCTTTTGTAAATAAAGAAGGAGGAAAAACTGCAGGACCGAAAAAGTCAAATGTGTGCGTTTCAGGCAGATGCTTCTTCATGCAGTATTAAATTTAAAAAATGGTCTCGTCATCCAAATTCTAGTGAATGGAACGAAGAACGAAAGCAAATGAGTCATTTGTGGGATGAAATTAGTAAGAGTGGTTCAAGCAAGAATCATAGGAAGTGGGATTGTGATTGTCTCAAATGACATTCAGAGCGGTGCAAATAGAATTTATGCATTTTTTTATAGTGCCAGTTTCCTCAAACTTCAGAGAAGCAATGCATACTCTGGGGCAGCGTTTCTCCACCTTGAGAATTTTTAAAATGATTGGACTTCCACTCTCAGAATTCTGGGAGTTGAAGTCCACATATCTTAAAGCATCCAAAGTTGAGAAACACTGCTCTGAGGTAATACTGTGAATCCAGAATTGTGACACGACACCTTTCCTGCCTTGTTTAGGTCATCCTGCAAGGAAGCAAAGGCCCAAGCTTATGCTGCTGAGTTCTAGGCAATTAGCCATTATTACATCCTTTCCTATTATTTGATTTCAGGACTGTGCTTATGTTTTTCTTTGGATGTTAATGTTTATTTATTTTAGTGAATCAACGTTCTAATACACTTCTCTCCTCTGTGTGGAACATTCAGACATTCACGTTCATTTCTCCTGTGTTTTAATAGATGGGTGATGGGAAGAGCATCCGCTACAAAGATCTCTATGCATTGTTTGAGCAGATTCTAGAGAAAACCATGAAATTTGAACAGAGGAACTGGAGTGAATCCCCCGTACGGGTCTGGGTCAATACATTTAAGGTGTTTCTGGATGAATACATGACAGAATACATGCCTTTGGATTATTCTGCAGCAAAGGTAAACTAGTCTACCACAATCACAACCTCATATTGCATCCTTTTGGCAGGAGGACCACGTTCTGGATGTCCTGTGAAGAATCAGCAACTGGACTTTCTTGTTTTTCCTTGAAAACCTTTCGCTTCTCATCCAGGAAGCGTCTTCAGTTCTGTCTGAATGGTGGAAGATGGAAGGATTTATATTCCTTGCAAGTCATCTGGTCATTAGTAGCCTTTCAGAAAGTTTTTTTATGCTGCTTCACAACATAATTTCCTCACCTCTTGTTATTGATGAATAGAATTTGGAAGTTTTTATCATGAATGTAGGCGAATGTGGGATAATATTGCAGGATCCAGCCTGGGTCGGTCAGATTGGTCTGGTCCCGGTGACTGATCCAGGTTGGATCCTGCAAAACATTTTTTGATGACAAAATATAACGTGCTATTGGAAATGAATAATCTCAAGTAACCTGAATGCATATGCACCGTTCTGTTATAAAAAGGCCCATAGTGAAGAAAAACGGAACAAACCCTAATTGTATGGCTGTATGTACGTGCATATTTTAAGGCTTCTGTTCTTGAAGTATGTTGGAGAGAGCCAGCAGCAGGGGAAAATGTTCAGAGATATAGCAGTTAGTAAGAAGCCATGGAAGGGACAGTTGTAGGTCATTCTGTTACTTACACGAAATAGATTAATATCTCCTTCCAAACACCCCTGTTTCTGCCAGAAGCCATGACAGCAGAATTCTGATTCTAGCAGACACTTGTTAGCTCTCTCAGTTCTGGCTCAGTAGTGCCCACATAATGAAATATTGAATATTATAGGAATATCTTGGTCAGGAGCAGAAGCAGTAGATGAGATAAGAAAGGTCCGTCTGATTTTTAATAGTTCCTCGATTTGCTTTGTAAACAAAGATTATATAAGAAAACAGATTTAAATTTGCAAATGGAAGCAAAGTATTCAAAAAAATACTGAAGTGTTTGATATTGTCTCTTGTTGTCTTAGGTGACAAAAACAGAAAGGAAGAAGAGACGAAAGAAGGAAACAGACATAGTAAGCTGAAATGCTTCCTCCTTTAATATGAAGCAAGATATTATAAATTATATAGACATCTATTATGTACGTTTAAATGTTTGCAGCAAGTCCAGGTATGTCAGTGCTGGCAGTCAGTGAAGTTATCAACTTCCTGATGGTAACTGTCAAAAACTCTGTTCTATTTTGTCCTACCCTACTTAGTATTCAGACTAATTCTTCCTACACAATGTAAAAACAATAGACTTTGTTTTCCGCCCCATCTTTAAGTTGCTTACTTGATTACCTACTGTAATAACTTGGAAGACTCTTTGACAGTTGTAACGGTTCTTATGAGAAGGTCGTAAGGTCGGTCCCAAAATTTTTTTTAAATAACAGTTATATGAAATACTTTTGTGCAGTACAGTTCAGATCTATTTTCAGCTACTGTTAAATGTCAGATGGCTTTTTCTGTTGCTGTTACTAGGTAGAAGAACATAATGGTCATATTTTTAAGGCTACTCAATATAGCATTCCTACTTACTGTGAATTCTGCTCCTCCTTGATATGGATCATGGACAGGGCCGCTGTTTGCAAATGTAAGTATGAACTCTTAACCTTCATGCACTCTCCCTATTCTTTCTTACATTGTTTTTTTCTTTAGGAGATTGATAGCTCCTTTAGCTTTTGTTCAAATGCTTTACCAAGTAGAGAAAGGGCAATAGTAAGTATTGTACTATAGTTTTAATTTTTAATTATAACTAAGAAACCAAAGGAAGGCTGTATTATAGGAAGTGCCAAATTTGTATAGAGGAGAAATATTTAGCCTGCTACAGGCTAAATTATGCAGCAAAATCCAGTTGAGACTTTTCTTGTCAAGTTACAACGCAATAACATTTCACTGCATTTCATTACGTGTAACACTAAATACGTTTTTTCTTAATTCCAGTATGCAAATACGCCTGCCACCGAAAGTGCTGCCAGAGGACCACAACTAAATGCTCCAAAAAGGTACTGTGTTTTCTCTCATTTCTGTATGCCACACACATACAGGGGAATTCTGGGAGCTGAAGTCCATACATCTTAAAGTTGTCAAGGCTGAGAAACACCGGTCTAGCTGCTGATTCTTAATTCATATTTCTACTGCGACACATTCTGTAAAACAGAAGCAAGGCAGTCAAAAAACTGTGGGGAGATGGCAGAATTAAAAGCTTGTTTTCTGCTGCCACTTTGCCTGCTCCCCCACTGCTCTGGATTGAGATTATGACTAAAATGCTAATCCCGTGTAGGGCTCAGCAAAGACAGCAAGGATTGGGGAAAGGTGAAGCATGTTGAGATGTTTCCATTACTCTAATACTTGCTTTACGTTTTGCCTAGCTTGCAATCTTAAAGCGGGGCTGTTCTGATCCTGGCATTTTAGCAGCTTTAGACTCATGTGAATATTGCTGGAATTTGGCCAGTGTGGCTGTGATGTGCTTGCAACACTGAATGCGTTATCCCTGTCCCTGTAGTATGACCCAGAGCTTTCTTCACGGCAATTTGGAGTCGAACTCTCTCGCCTGACCAGCGAAGAACGAATTGTGCCGATCGTGTTTGAGAAGCTCACCAGCTACATAGAAATGCATGCTTTGTATACAGAGGGCATTTACCGGAAATCTGGATCAACAAATAAGATCAAAGAATTACGGCAGGGCCTTGACACAGGTGAGGAGACTTATTGTGTTTTTCCCCCTGGTATTTGGGTCACACAGGTCCCTCAAAATGACCAGGCATTTGGCCTGACACAGTTTATTTTAGATATGATAGAACTTTAGGCAGATTATGGCCAGAAAGTTTAGTATTTTGGTGATCAACAGTATTCAGTTTGATTTAGCTCGGGGGTTTAGACAGTGCTGAAGCAGGACTCATGCAGTACCTATGGTTAATTCTATGTTAGGCTAAAGCTAATCTGTAGCTTTGGTTCATGTATGATTTGTGTTTGAGAGTCGGTTTGGTGTAGTGATTAAAATGATGGACTCGTTCTCCCTTAGGTATGAAAGCTGGGATAAACCTATATCTTAAATTCAGAATTTTTGACTTTGTCCTTTTCAGTCAGTTATACTATTTGTTAAGGAACCTAGGCCATCGCATCTCATCACACTTTGTGTTGGAGGCACCAAGGCACTTCTGGGTTGAAAGGATTAGTCAGTGACATCACCACAGCCCTGGATATGCTCAGATGGGGGCTCCTTTCAAGTCCCTGACAGGAGCTGGAGCGAAGGACGTGAGCTCACCCCCCCCCACCATGGTAGCGCTCCGATTTCGAATGCAGGCCTTCTGCTTGTCAAGCCAGCATCCTAACCACACAAGCCACCATGATCCTATACCTTGGCCATGACTTAATTCTTAACGTTGGCACCAATGTGTCAGATTGCATGCTGAAGCAATCTGTTTCTCCTTTGCTTTTAATTTTCTTCACTTTTATTCTTTCCGCTAACCAGATATTGAAAGAGTGAACCTCGATGACTACAACATCCATGTCATTGCCAGTGTGTTCAAGCAATGGCTGAGGGATTTGCCTAATCCTCTCATGACATTTGAACTCTATGAAGAATTCTTGCGAGCCATGGGTAAGGAGTTGTCACATCTAGTTGAAATAGGACTTTGGGGAATATTAAAACCGAAGCTAAGAGGAAAAGCAAGTTCTGTTTCTGCTTGGAAAATTGTGCTCTCCACTAGCTCACTATCTCTTCAGCTTGCTTTTCCTTATCCCGGAGAATATTTCTGCACAAAATGCCTGTGAAAATTCTTTTCTAAAACAGCGATGATACTTTTTCTAGGGATCTGCTTCGGACGGTGCCCTGAGGTATCCCACTGTGATGCAATGTATCCCCTTGATGAGATCCCAAACCAGACCAATAATTCCACTTCTATACTCTGCCCTCTTTCTCTGCATTTCAGACATTATATCCTGATTTTTCACCTAAATATTTCAAACCCCTCAGATACATGGAAATGATCTTCTGCCTTGAGTTGCAGTAGGATTTCCTAGTGCATTCTTCTTTTAAGAATACCACTTGAATTGCAAAGGTATTTTGAGCATCTGGCTCATCGCTCAGAGATTCCCTTTCCGGAGTATTCATTAAATCCTGAGCAGTAGTGGACTTGCAAGATACATGTGTTTAGATGTGTATAACATATTTTGTAAGCTTCACTTGATGTTAAAAATACTCATTCCTGAGACAGAGCAGGCCACAGTCCTGACGAATTGAATGACATCTTGTAGGATACAATCTGGGTCGGTCACCGGGACCGGAGGTTTAAACCTAAAGATTAGATCCTGCAATATTATCGTGGGAAACGTATATTTGCCTTCATTTGTGAGTGATGTTTGTTTTCTGCAGGTCTGCAGGAGAGGAAAGAGGCGATCCGCGGGGTCTACTCAGTCATTGATCAGCTTTCCCGAACCCATCTTAATACCTTGGAACGGCTGATCTTTCACCTTGTCAGGTATCAATAGCCAGGATAAAGTTACAAAGAGATTTCCTTGTGAATGTCAGCTTTATCTGCAGATATATTCCCACGTTCAGCTTTTGGTGAGACCTGCAATCTTGAAAGGCGGTTCTGTTTTCAGAGCTGTGTGCCGAGACAGGCTTATTTGCAGAGAGCTTTGGAAAGCTAAGCTCTGCCTATCGTCATCTCCCTTTCAGTCATGCTTATTATAATCCCCCAGGAAAGTCAGTCATTATTCTGGGTGAAAAAAAAGCTTTTCTTGAGGCATACATATCAAACCCAAAGGCCTTTTTAACCTCCTGATCAAGTTGGAGGGCAGATCATTCTTTGTATGTTATGTTACGTGTTATTTTAATGTGGGTGTGGCTGGGGAATTCTAGGAATCGAAGTCTACACCTCTTCCAAGGTTGAGGAACATTTGGCTAGAGACTGGCACTGTGGTTTGGATTAATTTTAGAAATATGGGACATAATGTGGGCCACACAGAGATCTACTGTCCAAGAGAAAAGAATGACTGGGAAGGACAGAAGGAACAGCTAAAAATCTGACATCGTTGCTTCATGTTGAGACTCTAGAAAGAGTACAGAGAAGAGCAACAAAGATGATCAGGGGACTGGAGGCTAAAACATATAAGGAACGGTTGCTGGAATTGGGTATGTCTAGTTTAACAAAGAGAAGGACGAGGGTGACACGATAGCAGACTTCCAATATCTCAGGGGCTGCCCCAAAGAAGAGGGAGTCAAGCTGTTCTCCAAAGCGCCTGAAGGCAGGACAAGAAGCAACAGATGGAAACTAATCAAGGAGAGAAGCAACCTAGAACTAAGGAGGAATTTCTTGACTTAGAACAATTAATCAGTGGAACAACCTGCCTCCAGAAGTTGTAGGTGCTCCATTACTGGAGGTTTTTATGAAGGAACTGGACAGCCATTTGCCTGAAATGGTATAGGGTTTCCTGCCTGAGCAGGGGGTTGGACTAGATGACCTCTTCCAATTTTATTATTATTATTATTGTTGTTGTTGTCCCCAGCATCGGCCATAGCCTCACTCTGCCTGTTGATGTCCACCCTGTTTCTTTTCTTTGACCCTTGTGTCAATTCTTAGGTTCCACTCTAGGGGTTTGTCCCACCTCGCAACAAGTGAGGGTTGCCACAAGCGTCTGTAGTTAAAGTTTCATTGCCCTTCTGTTTTGATGCTGTTTAGGATAGCTCTACAAGAAGACACTAATCGGATGTCAGCTAATGCTCTGGCCATTGTGTTTGCTCCCTGTATCCTCCGTTGTCCGGACACCACTGACCCTCTGCAGAGCGCTCAGGATGTCAGTAAAACCATCAGGTAATTTAAAAATAAATAAAATAATAAACGACTTGCTGCCTGCCGTGACCGGTTCAACTCCACTGAAGTCACTCCCGTAGTTTGGGGAGGAACGTTTTACAATAATGAAAATTCCAGAAGAAAAAGTGGCATGCACAGATTGATTCAAGAAAGAAAGATCTTTGCATTCATGTCTAGGTTGTCTACAGCAATGTTTATTTATTTGCCGCCCATCTTACCATAGGGCAGTGGTGGTGAACCTATGGCACGGGTGCCAGAGGCGGCACTCGGAGCCCTCTCTGTGGGCACACGCACTGTCGCCCCAGCCCCGCCTCCTCCCATGGCCCCCTCCTCACCAGCAGCCCCCCCCAGAGGAGAGTCACCCCCGGGTGCGGCCCATGCGAAGCAGCACAGCCAAGGACATGGTAGCCAGGCAGTGGGGACAAGACTTCGCCCTTGCGCTCCATCGCATGCAAATGATGCTGCGGGGCACGGGCGGAGGGCGTGGCCACCATGGCGCTGCTGGGCTGCCTGGGTGATCTGTGGCGGCCCGTGGAGGTGGTGGGTGGTCCAGCGAGCAGGGTGGAGCGGGGACGGGTGGGGGGGGCGTTTTTTGGGCACTCGATCTCCGAAAGGTTTGCCATCACTGCCATAGGGTAACTCTGGGCAGCTTACAGTTACATCTAAGTTAAAATATAAAATGTTAAAACCAAACCTTAAAACCAAAGACATGTGGGGAGGGTGGAGACGGGCGGGGGGGGGCAGGTGGGATCTGTTATTACTCAATCAACCACCTCCATTGCGCTGTTCCCCCACTGGGGCCCCAAGCCGATTGGCACAGCCAGGTCTTTGGGCCCTTACAAAAGGATAGGAGGGTTGGGGCCAACCTCACATGGGGGGGGCAAGATGTTCCAGAGGGCAGGAGCCACAGCAGAGAAGGCCTTGCTCCTGCACCCTGCCAGTCAGAATAATTGGGCTGATGGGTCCCACAAGCAGGCCTCCTCTGCCGACACCAGTGGGACAGGCCAATCCCAGTGGGGTGAGACGGTCCCTCAAGTAACCTGGACCCGTGCCCACGAAAGGCTTTAAAGGTGATCCCCAACACCTTGAATTGCACCCGGAAGCAGACTGGTAAACAGTGCAGTGGTGCCACAGGGGCCATTCTTGGGGGGCGGGGCTTAAAACCACCCGCGCTGCCCCACTCTGCCCCAGCTGCAGCTTCCAAATGCTCTTCGTCGCTTAGATTCTGGTCCTCAAGCCATAACTTTCCCTCTTGACGATTTTTCTCTTTCAGTTGCGTAGAGTTGGTTGTTATAGAACAGATGAACAAATACCGGGCCCGTCTCAAGGATATCAGCAGCCTTGAGTTTGCAGAGAACAAAGCAAAGAGCCGGCTATCCTTGATCCGCAGGTCCATGGTAAGGGGCAGGACTTGACCGACCAGCTGGCCGAATGCCAGATCACGAAGAAGTGGAGACTCCGTCCTCTGACCATCCCCGTTTTCTATCTCACGTTAATTGTTCAGAGAAATATTGGGAGGAAGATCAGCTGCGTTTGCCTCTCCTGATACCGTCCTAGCTTAACAGCCTCGATTCTGGAACTGTGAATCTCCTGTGTGAGATTTAACTGACTTGGGTGTGGATAATAACTGAAAGACAGCTGTCTTTCTCTCTCTCTCTCTTCTCTTCCCTGTAACCTTTCCTTCCCGTCTTTCTAACTCCTTGCGCATCTCAAGTTCTTTTAACATGTGATTTAGTCTAATGCAGGAGTTAAAAGTGTGGCTTTTAAGCACTAATGTCTGAGTCTTCAAAGGTACAGGTATCACTCTGTTGTTACTTTGAACAGGTAACTCATGGTTCTTGAGAGCTGTTTTTTTTTTTAATTTCCCAAATTTATTTTATTTATTTATTTATTTATTATTTACATTTATATCCCGCCCTTCTCCTTGCGGACTCAGGGCGGCTGACAATTGGATAAAATACTAACATGTTATACATATTATACCTAATTAAAATTTGATTAAAACGAAATATTTAAATATGTCAAATTAAAAGTAATTAAAACCCCTTTAAAATCCCTTAGGCCAGTCCCGCTNGGCACTGTCTGGCTGACGGCACCCTGAGGAGACCCACTCTGTGAGAGCGTACAGGTCGGTGGGGGGTAGTCTGTGGCAGGAGGCGGTCTCGAAGGTAACCAGGTCCGATGCCATGGAGCGCTTTAAAGATAATAGTCAACACCTTGAAGCGCACCCGGAAGGCTACCGGCAGCCAATGCAGCTCGCGCAAAAGCGGCGTAACGTGGGAGCGACGGGTCCCTCCCAACACCGCCCGCGCGGCCGCATTTTGAACTAGCTGGAGCCTCCGGGTGCTCCTCAAGGGAAGCCCCATGTAGAGAGCATTGCAGTAGTCCAGGCGGGAAGTCACAAGGGCATGAGTGACCGTGCGTAAGGCGTCCCGGTCCAGAAACGGCTGCAACTGGCGGATCAGGCGAACCTGATAAAACGCTCCCCTGGTCACGGCCGACAACTGGTCATCCAATGTCAACCGCGAATCCAGGAGAACACCCAAGTTGCGGACCCGATCTGAGGGGGCCAAAGTTTGGTGTTTGGTATCTTTGGTGAACTCAAACCACTCTAGCTTGTCTGCAATTGGCTTTTCTCCACGATTAGTCCCTGTTCCCCTAACGCTCACAGTATTCTCATCAGAGACTGCTTTAAGAAAAGGCTTCCATTCTCCTCTCTTCCACACAGCACGTGCCAGTGGGAGACTCTGGGGGTGACAATATGGTGTGCAGGCTGCACCCTGACCCCCCCCCCCGTTGAGCTCTTTGTAATAAATCACTTCTTCTCCCCGCTTAATGAATTGTATCAGGCGCAGAACAATTTGCATGCTTCTTAGCTAGGCTGCTGACGTGAAACGCAGTTGCTCTGCTCAGAAACGGCTTCAGGCCGGCGGGGTCCGTGGAGATTGGGGCTTGGTTGACCTCGTGGCGGGAGGTCAAGGGGAGCATTGCTGAAAGCTGGCTGAGGCTGTGGGGCCTACTGGGCACCCTCTCTTGGGGAGTCCCGTCTATCGCTGCAGCCAATGCTTCTCCACCTCTCTTGCAGCACAGAATGGCTTGTATCTCCTTTGCGCTTTCTAGCCGCTGCGGCCCAGAGCCAGCTTCCCCCGCCATGCCCAGCCACTCCCGGAGTCAGCTGATGGCGGGTGCACTCTAACCTGCTCCTTTCCTTTCCTTTCCTTTTCCTGTCCTCTCTAATCCAGAAGCCTGTACTAATTGCCGTTAGATTTATGAGCATAACCCGCAGTTCGATCCCGGTATGTATCCGAATGGCAACGCGCCGACCTTACGCCATAACTCTCCATTCATCCCAGTGCTTCTGCATGCTCCATGGCCACCCGCCCATATTTCATAACGCTCTGTGTGTGTGGTATGTGCGTGCGTGTTTTATTTCCAACTCTTTGGCTGCCGTCCACTTCTCGCCACGACAAAAGGCATCAAAAGGGAATGCCTACAAGGCCATTTTCACCTAGACAGATTAGGAGGAAGACAAGTAACCCTTAATATAGAAGAGAATCAGTTTTTACGTGGATTTCTGTAATATTTGGCACAGAAAATGTCTTTAGAGGAGAGTCTTTGTATTGTTTTTTTTCCCCCGCTAAAGTAAAGCAGAGAGTGAGGTAGAGTCTTATAGAAACTGAAAAGCTAATGGGAATTTGGCACGAACGTGTTCACTTGAATTCTTCTGTTGACCTCCTTTTTTATTTTCCTCAAATTCTTTTATCTATATCTTCATTCTTTCCTCTGGCCTAGACCAATTTCACATATTAAGACCACAGACGATCTCTTGAAGCACAACAGGAATTCAATATATGGTTTTTTCCCCCCCTTTCTAACCTTTCCAATTTTCAGCAAACAAACACGTCATCTTCCAGGACTGCCTTTGCTCGAATTTTCAAAACAAAGTATAGAAGAAAGATTCCTTTTTAGAGTCAGACAGCATAGAAGCCCGGCCTAATGTTAACATTAAAGCAACTTTGCTAATATCTAATCAGAGCCTCAAGTTCTAAGAGGAAAATCTGAATATGACTTTAGCTGTGATTTTAAAAAAAACTTCAATCCCAAAACATATGATTTAGCTAGAAAGGGAAACCTCAAAATTGATTTAACAATTCCTGGAGTCATTTACCTCAGGGGTCTCCAACCTTGGCAACTTCACAACATGTGGACTTCAACTCCCAGAGGAAGTTGGGATTCTGAGGAATTCCATGCTGCCTGAGGAATTCTGGGAATTGAAGTCCACCAGTCATAAATTTGCCAAGGTTGGAAACCCCTGATTTACATAACATGATGCTGCTGAAAGTATGAAGTGGTTAAAAGTTTTGATTTTTATTTTTTTTTACAATATATCCCAGGACAGATGTATGAATCATTGGCTTTTGAGAAGCTGGATGAACCTAAAGAGCGTTTATATATTTCTTGGCTCTGGGTCCAGAGAAATACATTCTCCTTGTCATATTCACAGTGATCCACTTCTGCTAGTTTATTCACAGAATTTCACTGGAAAATATAAACAGCAGGATTATCTGTGTTTTGCTGATGGCTTTCTTTGTTCCCATTTTTTTTTCCTGCCTAGAGGGATTAATAATGATAAAGTTGGAAGGGACCTCGGAGGTCATCTAGTCCAACCTCCTGCTCAGGCAGGAAACCCTATACCATTTCGGACAAATGGCCGTCCAGTCTCTTCTTAAAAACTTCCAGTGTTGGAGCATTCACCGCTTCTGGAGGCAGGTTGTTGCACTGGTTAATTGTTCTAACTGTCAGGAAGGTTCTCCTTAGTTCTAGGTACATTTCAGCATTTCCAATGTCCTAGAAGGGAGTAATCTAAAAGATGGTATAAACAAGGTTTGTTGTTTTTTTTAGAATACTTTAATCCAGTTTCCTTCCTTGCACCACTTTTTGGTGCTGGCAACCTGACATATTCTGTTATAAGTGAATCCATAGAAATTAACCTCTGGCTTATAGATCAAAGATATTTTTGAGGACCTCCCCAAATAGTCCCCATGTCCTTGAATTTATACTTGCTTTCCATCCTATCTGTCTCTGCTGGGCATCTGAAGAAATTGTTTGTTTGCTGGTTGTCTCATACATATACTGGGGATGTGTTTTTCTAATTTCAACGCTGATGGAAAGGCACCGTTCCTCATTAGCCTTAATTTATGCATAGGGCAAAGGGCGTCTACGCCGAGGCAACTATCCAAGCCCTACATCACCAGCAGGAGTCCGGTTGCCCTCTATGTCGGATGCTCCCGAAGAGGCCCTGAGCAGCGAGGAGGCCATGGAGATAGAGGTCACCGAACAGCAGCAAGTAGCCATGCAACAGGAAGAGAAGGTGCTGGCAGAGCAAATAGAGAGCCTGCAGAAAGAGAAGTGAGTCTGAGTAGCTGGACCAATGAAACTCAAGCAATGAAGCCTAAGTAGCTGGACCGGTGAAGTGGGGGTGTCCCATCTGCTATAATTCAGGAAATGCTTAACCTGTATGTGTCAAGCTAGGGTGCAGATTGAATATTGCAGACACAACCTTAATAGTAATAAAGGAGACTATTTGTAGCTCAGGGTGGAGATGAGGGGTCTTTAGAGCTCTCTGAGCTTGGTTGTTTTCTTGCAGACGTTTCATGTCCCAAACTAGGTAGCATCATCAGGACTAGAGTTTGTGGAGAAGAGGAGGAGGAGGAGGAGGGGGGGGACTGGAGAAAGAGGAGGAGGAGGAGGAGGAGGAGGACAACTGTAGGGTCCTTGGTGCTCTCTGAGCTTGGTTGTTTTCTTGCAGACGTTTCATGTCCCAAACTAGGTAGCATCATCAGGACTAGAGTTTGTGGAGAAGAGGAGGAGGAGGACTGGAGGAAGAGGAGGAGGAGGACAACTGTAGGGTCCTTGGTGCTCTCTGAGCTTGGTTGTTTTCTTGCAGACGTTTCATGTCCCAAACTAGGAAGCATCATCAGGACTAGAGTTTGTGGAGAAGAGGAGGAGGAGGAGGAGGAGGAGGAGGACTGGAGGAGGAGGAGGACAACTGTAGAGTCCTTGGTGCTCTCTGAGCTTGGTTGTTTTCTTGCAGTTGTTTCATGTCCCAAACTAGGCAAGGTGGAGACTAGCGCTGATGATGTTACCTAGTTTGGGTAATGAAATGTCTGCAAGAAAACAACCAGCTCAGAAAGCACCAAGGACCCCTCATGAGCTTAATAGGCCTTTATTTCCTAGCTTCTGCTGCTGTTTTTTTTCCTCCCTCTATCCAGTTCTTTCCGTTTATTTTCCATTTTATCCCTGCAGGGAAGAACTAACTTTTGAGATGCTGGCACTGGAGCCTAGAGCCTCTGATGACGAAACGTTAGAGTCTGAAGCTTCAATCGGCACTGCCGACAGTTCTGAAAACCTGAATTTTGATTCCGAAGGAGCCATTTCGGACAAGTCAGGTAAATAAAATTGGTTGGGGAAGGTGTCGTAAAGGAACCCTCATTAAGCACATGACGTTTACTATTCAGTAGTGGAGGTTTAATAGTAATCAGTTAAAAGGTTGCACTGGTTTGATCAAATATGAACCAACTGAGGAGGGCAAGCTATATTCTGAAAACCCTTGTTGGAAATGTCCCCTCTAGGCCAGTGATGGCGAACCTTTTAGAGACCGAGTGCCCCAAAACCGCCCTGCTCTGCCCCATCCCTACCCGCCCGCAGGGCCACCCACTGCCTCCACGGCCCGCTGCAGGAGATCGCCCAAGCGGCCCTACAGCGTCATGGCCACGCCCTCCGCCTGCACCCCGCAGCATCATCTGCGTGTGATGGGGCGTAAGGGCAGAGTCTTGTCGCTGCTGCCCACTGCCATGTTCTGCCCGCTGCACTGCTCTGCGTGGGCCACGCCGGGGAGCAACTCTCCTCCAGGGGAGCTGCTGGTGAGGAGGGGTCCACGGGGGGAGGCGGGGCTGGAGCAACAGCACATGTGCCCACAGAGAGGGCTCTGAGTGCCGTCTCTGGCACCGTGCCATCGGTTCGCCACCCCTGCTCTAGGCAGTCTGTAAATAAGCCACAATGTTTGATTCCGTGGACGGGAATCAGGAGAGTGTCTTTGGACTTTCCCAGGGAATGTTGTCTCTTTGTCAGTGCATTCCTAGTGCTGCTTCTTGAGCAACTCTTAACATCTCTTCCCTACCAGGCAGAAGTGTAACCTTCAACTCGGCAAGATCCATCAAGGCAGACCCGAGCGGCACCTCTAGGTCTCGAAGGCAACTGCGCAAGCAGCAGGAGTCTTTGGACTCCGTGGATTCCTCGCTTCCTTCTCCGTCCCTGTCGCCTTCTCCCTCCTCCTCCTCCTCCTCCTGCCTGCCTCACGTGACGAGGAAACGATTCCAAATCTATTCCAAATCGCCTTTTTATCGAGCAGCTCCCTCTGGGGACGCTGGG